AATCACTTATTAAGCATCTGAAAAAAATAAGACAATAATATGTTTTGGTGTGTAATACCAGCTCTGTGAGACATCAGGTTTCCAAATTTGTGGCTCTCTCTTCCATTCCATTGGGCTATTTCTCTATAATCATTTTTAATTGCTACATATTTATAACAATTCTTGGTATCTAATAAGGCAATTCCCCACCCCCTCAAATTTACTTTTCGTCAGGAGGATCTTGGCCATTCCTGCCTTTTTGTTCTGCCATCTAAACTTTAGAATTTTTTTCTAGTTCCATTTGGAAAGAAAAAAAGCATTCACTCAAGTGAAAATGTACAAACTCTAAAATAATGGGAAGAATGACCATCTTTATAATGGTAAGTCTTCAAATATAAATATATTTTATTTTTCTACTTTTTAAATTTTATTTAATGTATCTTAATATAAGGTTTTATAATTTTTGCATAAAAGTTATATCTTTTAATTTTTTAGGTTTTGTAAATGGTATCTTGTATTATTGAATTTTCCATTCTTTGCTGTTATATGAACTGGAATTAATTGTATATATTGATTAGGCATTTAGATTAAATATTTTAGGTTTAGGTTTTTACCTTAGATTTAGATTTCTACCTTAATCTATTAGTGTGGTAAATGAATTGATTTCTTCATGTTAATCTGCCCTTGCATCCCTAAGATAAACTTAACATAATAGACTTGGTTTACTAGATTTGTGTTTAGGATTTTTGCATCAATGACCATCAATGAAATTGGCCTATAATTTTCCTTTTCTGCACTGTCGTTTTAATTTTTGATATCAAGATCATGCACTAATTGATTTTCTAATATTAATCTCTTCTTGCTTTACTGGGATAAACTCAGTGTTCTGGATTTATTTACTAATATTTTGGATCAGTTTTTTTCTATCAGTGTTCATGAAATTGTTCTATAACTTTTGTCTCATGTTTTCTTTCATTGGTTTTGATATCAAGATTATACTTGCATGACAAATAATTTGAGAATTATTATTCTCAATTATACAGAATATATATAATTGAACATATATTATTCAATTATAATATATAATTGAATAATATATATTATATATATTAATATATATATTATTATATATTATATTTATATATTTATATATAATATATTATATATAATATATAATATAATATATATTATATAATATATATATTATATATATATATAAAATAGGCGGTGCATCAGTTATTTTTTGATGCATTCACAGCATTGTTCCACAGCAAATCTAAAATTTTACTGAGCAAATGTGGCCGGGTCAACCCCATGGTCTCCCCTAGGAAGGTGTCCTTAATTAGACTCCAGTTTTACCCTCCAGGAGTAGCTCCCAATCTGCTGTTCTTCATGGTTTTTTGCTTTACCCATTGGTTCTACCATGAATCTTGGCTCTGTCCTTTGAGATGTGATTCCTTTTTCATCACAGCCTAGATTTCTTGAAATAAAAGTAGATTGCACTGGCAGCTGAGTAACTTTCTCAGCCTGTTTTCAGTCCATAGGAAGTTGGGGGCCCAGAGGCCATTTTGGAATTTTACCAATCTCAGACTATTTAATTTCAGGTTGATAAGGGTTTTTTCATACAACTCACTTAAGAACTTCCTGGACCTTTTATACATCTGATTCCATTTAAATGCATTTGCTGAAAATTATACCCACAGTTGTTTTCAAGACATATCCCTCTTCTTCTCTCTATATCATTGTCACTTTGGGTGTGTCAAACTGCTATGGGACACCACAATGTTGAGGTCTCAACAAGTAGTCTTGGGCACACCTTCAAATTTATCTATGCCTCCAGGTTCCATTTTATTTTAAATACCTTTTGCCAAATGGAGACAACGTTTTCTATTTTCTTTTTCTTCTCTTTCATTTTATTTATTTATTTGTTTGTTTATTTATTTGAGACAGGGTCTCACTCTGTTGCCCAGGCTGGAGCACAGAAGCACAATCATAGCTCACTACAGCCTCAACCTCCTAGGCTCAAGCAATGCTCCCACCTCAGCCTCCCAAGTAGTTGAGACCACAAATGTGTACCAACATGCCCAGCTCTTTTTTATTTTTCACAGAGACAGGTCTGTCTATGTTCCCGAGGCTGGCCTTCTGCTCCCGGGTTCAGGGGATCCTACCACCTTAGCCTCCCAAAGTGCTGGAATAACAGGCATGAGCTGCTGCACCCAGCCCATTTTATTTTCTAACCCAGCCAATTCTAGTCTCTTTATGTGCCCTACAAATTATGCTTGCGAACTGGCCAGTTCTTTCTTAAACTCATTTATTTCTTGTCATAATATATTATCTACAGTTTGGGACAATGAGCTGACTCTCCAGCATTCTGCCTGGAAACAAACTTAGCCAAATCGAAACATTTGTTGGGTCTATTTTCCCCTTAGGAAAGTTAATTCAGGCAATAATGTTGCCAGTTGCTTTATTACCTAACATATGTCACCCTTATCCAGCCTCCAATAACAATGTTATCACCACTTTTCCAGGTTTTGCAGCCAGTTTGCTTGCCATTTTCCCAGTCTCTGCTTGTAGCCCAGTTCCAAAACCAGTATTACACACTTTAGGTTTTGGTTATAATAGCACTCAATTTCTAGGTATCAATTTTTCCATCAGGTAACTATTGCTATGTAACAAACCACCCTAAAACTCAATACTTAAAACAATAAGCCTTTCTTATTGCTTGGGAGTTCACGGGTCCACTGAGAATTTCTGTTGATTTAGGCCAGTTGTAGCCAAACTTGTCCAAGCTCACTGATAGGTCTGCTTAACAGACAAATCAACTGAGGACCAGATCATCTAGGATTACCTTACTCACCTGACCAGCAGTTGTTTGGCTACAGGCTGAAGTGACAGGGATGATTAGATTACAGGTTTTTCACATCTAACAGGGTAGCCTGGGCTTATTTGCACGACGGTGTCAGGGTTCCAAAAGCACGGAAGCATGAAAGAGCTCTGAAGGCACAGGCTGACCACTGGCACACCAATACTTCCACCACATTCTAATCACCAAAGCAAATCATAAAACCAAGTCAGATGCAAGAATTAAGGAAATAGACCCCACCTCTTGATGGGAGAAGCTACAAAGTCATATTGCAAATGGCATAGATTTAGGAAGGAATGAACAATTAGAAAAGGAAATATTTTTGGCAATCAATTTGGTAATTCTAAATTTTCTGGAAAAGTTTGCCTAAGACTAGAATAATCAACTCTCTGAATGCATAGTATAACTCTCCCATAAAAGAAGTGTTAACTCCCTGTTAATGGACTTATTAAAGTATTAATTTTATTTCTTTAATGACTATGCAGTTTTTCTATTTCTTCTTAGATTATTTATCTTATATAAATGTTTATATGAAGTTATACTTATGTAAGAGGTTTTTAATGTTATATTTTTCTAGAATTTTTTCATTTTACCTGTTTTCAAATTTATTAACATAAAGGTTTAATATATCTTTGTTATTCTCATCTCTGTAGTCTGTACCTATGTCTTATTTTTCATTCGTAATATTATTCACTTGCACCTTCAGTCTTTGTTTCATTTATTCTTTCCTTGTTTCTATTTTTTATCAATTTTGGCAAAAGTTTTGTTGTTGTATTCATCTTTTCAAAAATCTAATTTTTTATTTAGTGAGCTTTTCTGTTTATTTTCTATGTCACTAATTTCTGCTCTTATCTTTATTTCTCCCTAATAGCCTTTTGTTCCTTATCTCCCTAGTAATATTAATTATATACGTTGTAAAGCCTTGCTGTCATGGCTTTATTCGCTGTTTCCTTGGATGTAAATTCTTCTAATATTCATTAAGCTTTTTAACTCCTCTTCTTGATTGCAATTTTCTTCCAATATTGAGTGACTTTTGATTTTTTCACTCATCTTAATAAATCAGATTTCCTGTTAAATTACCTTCTATACTTGTTCCACACAATAACTTGTCTCTTAAACACATAGATTCTTTCTTCTGTCTTGTTCACCACCTTGTCTCTCTAACAAAACTCCACAACATAAGCACTTAGAGGCAGGACAGACCCAATAAAAAGAGAGAAAACACCAATTTTAAACACCTGGATAATTGTTACTATGGTATCTCAACTAACCACCCTACCATCAACCATGCACCCACCTTCTGTAGTCACAATCCAATGTACAAAGTCCTGAGCTATAGTTTCCTTAATCTGATCCCATCTGCTTTGCTTGTTTTTAGAATTCTTCCCGCCCTGGTCCTCTATAATTTATTCTCCTTATTTTTGAAGATGGTTACATATTTATATTGTTTCTCAAATTTCTAGGGATTTATTTCAGGAGGGCAAGTCTATAGTTTGTGCTCAGTTCTTCTTAAAACACAAGCCAGCACAGCTTTCCTAGGAATGCCAGAATTTCACCAAACTGGAGTGACCAGCATCTCAATAGTACTTGAAAATCTCATTTCAGAACTAGAACAGGGAATACTAATCAAAATTCATGATAATAATCTTAAGTCATTAAGGAGGATGTTTTAAATCTTATATTTTGCTAAGAAAAACAGGAAACTATGTAATACATCTTGGAAAGCATCCTATTTCTCTTTTTATTGGTGATATTTCCATCTTCCCTATTCCCATCAGCCAAAAATATACTCAAATTTCTGTATCCAAAAAAGACCTTATCTACTTTTTCCTCAGGTTTCTGTCCCCAGTTCTTTCCTTCCTGTCATCACCAGACTTCATAAGAGTTGCTGAAAGTTACTTCACAATTCTATCCCGAGCCCACTGGATGTTGGTTTCTGCTTCTACTGTCTTGCTGAAACTTGTCTTAAATGTCATTAAAAACGGCCCAGTTGCCAAAATCATCATCTTGCCTTTTGGTTTGTTTCATTCCATCTTTGTTTCCACTGATAATTCCTACCCAGTTAGGATTAGTAGCTTTTCCTCTTTGTGTTCACAACATGTCACAACCGTCTTGAGACTTTGAACAGCACGTGTCTCACACTCCTCTATGTACTTACCCAGCATTAACTCTTATTAGGTAAGTGACTTTTAGCCAGTGCCTTCACCTTTTAGTGCTTCACTTTCTCATCCCTAAATGAGGATACAATTAGTTACTTTACTTCATAGGTTTTCATGAAGATTAAATGAGTTAACATATGTAAAGCAGTTAGCACAGCACTTGAATATAAGTTATTAGTAATAGTAGCAGCATACCTGATAACATGTAAGTCTTTCTACTATATTACTACCTCTCAGAGGAAAGAACTCTGTCTTTCTCAACTTTAGAGCCTTCAGATGATATAGCAAAGTGACTACGTAGAGAATCAATGTAAAAGGAAGCCATGGAGGCTTCTATTCAAGATGATCCTGCTCTGAGGATGTGCTGTAATCTCCCATGCTTTGAAATGTATGTTCAATTGAATTAATCTGAGATTTGTATAAAGATTATAAAGCCGTGGCTCTTGTTTTCCAGTTCTGGAGTGATACTGTTTTTAAAGAAGGGTGATAAAACCAGAAATGTCTATCTTTATAACACTCTCCAAGTTTTAATGGGGCTGAAAAACGTGGTCCAAAGCAATGTTCATTAAACATTTCATTCTCGGCCGGGCGCGGTGGCACAAGCCTGTAATCCCAGCACTTTGGGAGGCCGAGACGGGTGGATCACGAGGTCAGGAGATCGAGACCATCCTGGCTAATCTGGTGAAACCCCGTCTCTACTAAAAAAATACAAAAAAACTAGCCGGGCGCGGTGGCGGGCGCCTGTAGTCCCAGCTACTCGGGAGGCTGAGGCAGGAGAATGGCGTGAACCCGGGAGGCGGAGCTTGCAGTGAGCCGAGATCGCGCCACTGCACTCCAGCCTGGGCGACAGAGCGAGACTCCGTCTCAAAAAAAAAAAAAAAAAAAAAAAAAAATTCATTCTCTAATCTCTTAGGTTTGTTTTGTTCTTCTACCTCAAAAAGCTCTTAGGCATCCTCGTTTCACATCATCACCTTGGTCGCCACTTCCTCTCTGCTCCTCTGAACACTGTCCAAGAAGTCTTATCACTTGGGATCTGTACCACAAGATCCCTGGGGGTGGGAGGTTCCTCTTCTACTTTCATTGATTTTACCTTAAGCATAAACCGATGCATCTTTTTGTCCTTTTCTCTTCTTAGAGAGCAGGAGAAGAAGAAACAAGTGAACTTGCTTATTAATTTTTATCCTGCCAGGCTTAGAATAAGTATTTCTGAGCTATATTAGAGATTTCTAAAACATTTGCTTGTTTTCTACTCAAAACAACCACTTATACAATATTCCTTTTTGCTGTACCAAGGATAAATTTCACTTACTAAGAATCTCAGGCCTACATATTCTTCCTGAGAATCAGATTCACCATGCACCAATTACTCTATCTCCTGCCTGAGTTCTATGAGACAGAACTCTCACAGAACAAATTAAGTTAAGCAACTTCATTACTCATACATAGGCAGCAGGGAACAATAGAAGCACAGGATTTATAGCAGGCTGATCCCCCAAGTCTCAAGAAAGTTTCTGAGGGTAGATGGAGTCTTGTCTGCAAATACCCCACACCTCACTGCAACTAAGGGACCCTGAAAACCCCATACCCTGGGTTTTATATCCTGGAGCAATTGCACTCACTGGGCTAAAGCATTGCAGGTCATTCTGCGCTGGGAGGGACAGAAATGAAGCCCAGCCAGCTCCTCTTTATCTCAGAATGTTGCATTTCCAGCACATTCTGCAGTTATTCTTGAGAACTATAATCAAGAAAAGGGAAAAAAAACTGGGTCACCAAGATCCATCCAGAGACCTGTCCTGCACTTCCTTGTCTACTTGAGATGTTGTCACTTATGTCTCTAAAACAGAGCCCCTTAGAATATAAAGGCTTTTGACATTTATAAGACATTTTCTGGAAGCAAAACTGGCTTCTCAAAATTTGTCAAAAGTCAATACAAAACCTTCTGTGCCTGCTTTAGTGTGCTAGAATTGCCATATTTGCTGTACCAGGAAAAGGAAGCTTTTAAGTCATTATTTACCATTTTTGTTATGAAAACAGCACAGAGCACACATGATACAATAATTATTAGCAAAATATAAAGTAAATTAACATTGAATATTTCCACTGACGTCTGCCTGGATATGTGGTACTGTCTATATTTCCATGAAAGGCAATTATTGCTTAAAGGTTGAGGCTTACATGCAGACCTTAGAAACTGCATTGTGGCTTTCCTCTTCCATCTGGACCTGTCTGTCTTCTTTCTTTTGGAAATTCCGCACAGATTCAAGGGTATTTCTTATGTATTACTTTATTAAATCAAATTAATAAACAATTTAGGAAAATCCTTTATGCAGCCATTTGTTCTTTATGTTTTCTTTGTCTGATTTTTAAAATAACATAATCTGCTTTGAAATTTTCATCAGGATGATGATTATTTGATCCAAACACTGTTCTGAAGATGCAATTTCTAAGAAGCTTAAATAGCCCATGCGTAATACAGAGAAAAAAAACCACCTGAATATGACGTTTCCTCTCCCTTTTGTGATCTTTCCTCAGTTCACAAGTATATACTGAAAAACTACTCTGTTCACAGAACTTGGACTTTGTTACTTTGAAACACTGGAAACTATTTATTTATTTATTTATTTTTCTACTTTCAATCTAAAGCATATGATGATAAGGGAATAGTTCTGAAAGTTTGTCCTTTGAACTAAACATGAAGATATAACTGAATTTCTGTATCATTTTCCCAAGGGGGAAGAAAGTAGCTTTTAAGGCAGTTAGTAAAAGAAGCCACTGGCAGGGTATACACTGTGTTTCTCTTGGAAATTAACTGTTTTTTTTCCATGTTTATACTCCAAAAATTGCTAGTCTGCCCTTCACCTTGGCTTAAAAGTGCAGGAAAGATGAAGCTAATAATGCCCTGTGTTTGTTCAGCAGGGATGCTGTACATCCCTGTACACTGTATTCAGGAAAATGGTATATCTCACGGACCAATGTCTTACTGCTGTGTCAACCAGGTCAGCTGAATGGGGATCTACATGTCTGTTTTTAAATTCTGTTTAGTTCCCATACTGTCAAAAACATCTAGTTAAGTTGCCTAAATAGTAACTTAACTTTCAAGCATTTGAATCAGTTGCCATGGTAACAGATATTCAAAAACAGGGACCTATTTTGTATTAAACTGTTTTTCTCCACTTCCCACAAGCTTCACATTTATATGCTCTGCCCTCCTGGTGGGGGGTGGGAGAGTCGGGGGGAGTCAAAGCACAAGTAAAATTCAATCTTTTTTACCCCCTTTATATTGCAACCTTTTTAAAATTAAAAACTTCACATTGGACTAAAAAATGTGGCCATAACAGGATGTTATTTCATATAAGACCTGAAAATATTGAACTAATGGTCATCGTAACTGAGAAGGAGAGGAGGAAAAAAAGCATTAGGCTCTTGTTGCTTGTCCTCCAACTGCACTTCAGATAAAATTAAAACTACACAACTCCATTGACTGGTCATCTTGAAACAAAGAACAAAAGCTTAATCACATATCTAGACAGGGCAATTAAAGTCAAGACCACAGAAATCTAATTCTCCAAGCACATCCATGCATAATAACCACTTTTGGAAATGTAGTCTATACTGAAAAGACTCTGTGTCTGTATAGAATCTGAACTTTTTAATTATGAGACATTTCACATAAAGAAGACGTTGGGGGCAGGAACAAATCCAACAAACCAGAGAAGAACTTACCCTCTCCACAGACTCTGAAACTAGGAAGTTTCTACCTTTCTTTGTAGAAAAAAAAAATAGTATTTTTCCAAGAATTCCCTGCAAGACTGCTCTCTGAAAAGGCATATGGTGAAACAGAACGAGTACGATGAGTTATAGGATAGGCAAAACTAGTTCAAATAGCAGCTCTGCTCTTACCCAGGGTGTGATGCTGGGCACCTTACTTACTGTCTCTGCACCTCATCCCTACTTTGAGATAAAAATATCTACCTGAAATGAATTTTCATTTAATAATCCAATGAGATCCCATATGGAAAACATCCAGCTCAGCTAGATCTTAGTAAATGTTCATTCATTTTTGTTCTGTCATCCCTATCATGAATCCTTGTGTTTAAAAGCAAGAAGTTCTGTCTCCCAGTTACTCTTGCAACTTGTCCGGTTTCTTGGATGGACCACAGGAGCCTATGTAACCACGCCTTTGCTAGAATGCTATAAACTGCTCAAGGGCTCACACTCATGGTCTATCATTGAACCTCACCTAGTTGGGGAACTATACAGATGACCACAGATTCTCTCACAATTTAGGAGAATTTGTCCCTTTTTACAGTCACAAACAGAAAGATTAGAATAACAGAATGACTTCTGGGTTAGTTCAGATCCTCTGAGAAGGAGACACCAAGATGGATTAAATATGCAAAAAAAAAAACTTATTAGGGGAAACATCTATGGGAGATGTGAGAAAAAACAAATCTGACCCTGAGGGAAGGAGAGAAGAAAGGAAGGAAGAAAGGGTGTATGGAAGCTTCCTAGACTGGCATGCAGTCTAAGAAAATATCTACAACTTGAGGGAGTCCTCAAGCTACAGTTGGCCGTAAGAGAGATCCTGTGTTTCCCAGGAAGGGCTCATCTGAGTCTCTGTACCATACTCAGCCACTGGCTGAGAGCAGCCCTTGAGAAGCAAGGCCTCACCACAGATCAAAAAGTGAATTATCACAGTCGCCACTGCTTTTTAATTAGTGATATGGTTTCGACATTTGTTTCCAAATCTCATGTTTAAATATAATCCCAGTGCTGCAGGCAGGGTATTGTAGGAGATGTTTAGATCATGGGAGTAAATCCCTCGTGAATGGCTAAGTGCCATCCCCTTTGTGATGAGTGTATTCACTGGAGACCTGGTTGTTTTAAGTGTGTGGCACCTCCCCCTGCTCTTGCTCCCACTCTCACTATGTGAGATGATTGCCCCTGCTTCACCTTCTGCCATGACTGTAAGCTTCCTGAGACCTCACCAGAAGCAGATGCTGGCACCATGCTTCCTGTACACCCTTCAGAACATGAGCCAATTAAGCCTTTTTTCTTAATAAATTGCCAAC